TGCTTGATTCTGACTGGTGATAAAAAGGGTTTCCTTTTTGCTACGGATCGAGACCCACATATTTTAAGCGTTTTCACACAAAAACGTGCATACGAATACATAGATAGCCTACATAGCGATTCATAAAAAATGGCTGTCGATCGATCATCCCCATATGAACTGTAAAACGTATCTTTATTTCCTCTGTTACACGCTGGGTCTCTAATACAAGCCAGGTCTCAAATACACTCCGAGTCAACGGCTCTCGCGAAATGAATAGACGGCATACAGTCCAATAGAGGTAATACGGTAGTTTGAAATCGGATGTCTTGAGCGTTCTAGGCCACAACCCTGACTGCTTCGATGATTACATTGAGAGATTTATTGAAGGCATATCTTTTGCATACAAAAAAATGTCTATGAATCTGATAGGGACATATTTTTTGGTGACCAGAATCGGAAGCTATTTCCTTATTGAAACAACCGAAAATGACAGTAAAATATAACATTATAATTTTTTTTTGAAAAACTGTACTGATGACAACATGTTAAAAAAACTTTTTTGTGATCGATATTCGTTGCCATTTCCGTCAACCACCATCATAAGGATTTTGCAGATTATATGAAAGTCGATCAGAAAACACTGAAAGGTGAAAACAATGTCCCAACATTATTGAAGTCAAACTTGATGAAATTCATTTCAGAACACATGCAATTAAGAAAATCATACACGACCCACTATTTCTGCACCACAACTGTTTCATTGCTATCACACAATGGCTTTCTAAACAGTGCACAAAAAGTTGTGATGAAATTAAAACATCTATCTTTTGACTAAGTTTCGAGGGTAATTTGTCAACTTCTTTGTGAAAAACTATGTGTTTTGTACACTTATTTTGACCTACTCAAGACTATGGGATCTTAATCTTGAACAAGAGTACTATTTGTTGTATATAACTATCTGTGACCACTTTGCGGAATGTTCTTAGATTGTGGACCTTTGTACCCTGTGTTGTTACGCATTGCGAGAGAGCGACGTTTTCAAAGCCTTGTTGCTGTCATAGTAGAATGGAGATAAACCTACTGTATTTTGAAATTTGATGTAAAGCGCTCTGTTCCAAATGAAAATAACAGGTATCTACTCTACAGTGGGACTACATCAAATTTCAAAACACAGTAGGTTTATCTCCTAATTGTTTGCTGTGAGGGAGTCAGTTCAATAGTCACTAGGTTTTAGACCCAATGACCTTGTCTTTGGCCATACTGTTCATGGACCTTTATATCAGTTAAAGGAACATTAGCTGAATGATATGTCTGCTAGATATGAGTTTGTTGGAATGTCATTTGTCTCATCCTTTTGGGCTGGGCTTTAAACACTAGTGAAGTTGCTTGGGATAACTTGAAGGAACCCCAGGACAAAATGATTGACATTATGACAAAAAAGTCACAAGAGAGAAATTTCAGCTCTGGCGATAAAGCTGGTCCACCATTACATGCTGGGTACCACGGTCCGCATGTTATTGACAGAAAATTCAGTGATACTGACTATATCATACAAACACCAGACGTCATAAAAAGAAATGACATTTTACCTCATCAGTTTGTTGCCACTGTATCACCTGTTGATAGTTTATCAGACTGCGATGCTGATGAGAATTGTGACTATGTCAAGTTTGATTGCATTGCCGATGATGCTGGCCCTAAGCTACACAATTCTTAAGTTTTAGCTAAATTTGATGCTAAGTTAGGTCATTTGTCATCTTCGTTTAAGTGATAGAGTTAATGCAAGTGTTTGCTCACTTGTTCACGGATGTACCTGGCCGTACAGACTTAGCGAATCATGATGGAGATGTAGGTGATGCAATGCCTGTGAAACAACATTCCTATCAGATGAATCCAATCAAGCAGGAGGATCAATGCAAGCTGGACATTGACATTATTGACCCAAGTTATAGTGCCTGGTGTTCACCTTGCACTCTTATGCCGAAGCCTGATGGTAGTTACGATGTTTTACTGACATAAAATGTGTGAACGAACATTACATTACTTAAGGGTGTCGAAGCCTATGTTGGCAATGCCATCAATCTTTCCATGAAGTGGGAAAAACACCTGAAGGGGATACGTGCCTTCTTCGAAAGACTCAGTGAAGCCAAGTTGACTGTAAATTTAGTGAAAAGTGAATTTGCATAGGCACATGTACAATATTTAGGTCATGTCATAGGCCTAAGTCGGGCATGTCTCTCACACATTTCATTACATTAAGACTAACTTTCGTGTGGAGATCAATCCTCAGCCAGGATTCCCTGCCTTGGCCTTTCTCGGAAGCTTGACAGCTGTCGCCATTTGGTGAATATACTATTATCACTGACTTTTGCAATCACCACTGTTGTTTTGTATTTAATACAGACCACTGTCATCGTATTATATACTGTCACTGAATATTGTACGACCAATCTATTGTGTACTGTACTACCATATTCGCACTCCAAAGACCACTTCTCATGCTCTATCCACGGATCATCTGTACTTTTCCATCCCTTCAGGTGAATCTTGCATTTAAAACTGACACAGATGTCTCCTCTGTTTTCATAGGTAAACCCTGCATGAGCCATGTCTTTAGCTTTTTGTTTCATCTGTAAAGGCCAGTTCGGTGTAAAACTAGCCAATCGTGTTTCAAATTTGCTTGCGATTTGAAACCCACGCTGTCTGTGTAAAGATCCATCTTTTGTATGTGTTGATGATATGTCATTTAACTGTTCTGAATAATATTATATTTACGCAAAGCAGTGATAATGAAACAGCAGTACCTCTTCTCAATAAAAAGCCAGACACTGTTGTGGAGGCTTTCAAAGTCCTCTTAAAAGAAGGTCGCGTTCCCAAGAAGATAAGCTTAGATGGTGGGTGTGAATTCAAGGGTGCCTTTAAAGTTTTTATTGAAGAGCATAATATATAACTTATCGTCACACATAATAAAACATTAAAAGCAATTATATGGAACGTTTCAATAGAACGTTGAAATCGCTGTTACCACGCTACATGACACACATCAATACAAAGCGATACATTGATGTGCTACGTATACAAGACCTTGTCTATAATTACAATCTCACGCTGCACTCATCTCTACCTGATCTATCGCCAGCACAAGTGAACAAAGCCACCGAGATCAATGTAGGCGATATCTTTATGTGAAACCAATGTTAACCTTCTCAAAAACAAACAAAAGATTGCAAAAATGTATATATAACGTTGGTGACATGGTTTTTATTCTAATGAACTGCAACAAGTAAATAAAGACGCGGACATCGAGTGGAAAGTGTAGAAAGTCCTTAAGAAAAAGCGTGTGAAGGGGAAAATCTACTATTTGGTTCGTTGGTTGGGTTGGCCTACTTCTTTCGATTCATATGTTGACGAAACCGATTTGAAAGAGAGAACTATCTGTTCAGCTCAGACTCAAAAATGTCATATTTCCCAGAAAACACGCCATATCACTTCAGAGTGAACTTAAATCAGAGGTTAACATTTGAGGGGCTTTGGGTAGTTGCTTTAGTTGAACACAATTTCGGAAAGACAAATCTTAAGGACATGAACGACTCCTATGTTGATATTCTATGCAACATATGCGATAGCTCACTGGTAGGTGGAAGACAGACCCGGGGTTGAGACGTGTTGATCTAAGACATGGACCCAGTTACTTGTTCGCTAAACCCTTTTACAGTCCTGTCTCTGTGAAGGAGAATTACATACAGGAGCTAGTAATAGAACAACTGAATCATTTATTAAAGAAGAGACGCATGCGACACTACTCTTACGTCAGTATCCCTTCTTAGATTGAACATTTTATCATGGAGCACTTACCCGTTTATGTACCAGACTATTCTAAATGGAAACAGTACTTTGAGAAACATATGGTAGGAGCAGTGACAAATGTCACTGGAAGTAAAACTATGAAGATGAATTTCATTATTTCTTCAAATAACGTGTCAAATGACAAACGTATGGAAGCACCTAAAGTTACACTATGAGCGACATCTGAATCAGAGCGAAGTTGAGAGAGCAGGTGCGAAAGAAAAACGCATCAAGGCTATAAAACGCAAAGCAGGTGAGAAGACTGTCACATCCAAGAAAATGCGCCGCACTGCAAACATACCTTCGAGAACTGCTAAAGTTCTAAAAAGCACACCTGTTGAAGAAGAAGATATCTTTAGTTAAAAAACAAGCAAAAACTCAATGTCACTGTTAAATGACAAGGACTGCCTCTCGCTATTCAATCCGCCGCCTTATCAGACCAGTATATTTCAACACTATTTTGTCAACTTTCGCCCACTGAGTCAAATGAACGAATCTTCACCAGTGGAGTTTCAGGTAACGAATTCAGGAAGTGATTACATTGATCTGAAACGCTAGCTAAAGGCGAGCACGCGGCACCTGTTAACTTGTTTATGCAAGCCTTATGGTCTCAGGTGACAGTCTACCTGCAAGGACAACTGGTATCGTCGACAAACAACCACTATGCTTACAAAAGCATGATGAAGACCCTTATCTACTACGGAGAGGATGCGAAGCGATCGCAGCTGCAATCGCAGTTATTTTACAAGGATGCAGGGTGGCCAATGGCGACATTGAAAGCACTGATCCTATCACCGGAACCAATACAGGATTATCAATGCGTGGAAACTTTATTGCAACAAGCAAGAGTCTGACGCTCTCCGGTCCCATCTACGAGGATGTGTTCAACATGAATCGTCACCTAGCTAACGGTGTTGACATGAACCTAACATTTTACAGAACATCACCTTCCTTCAGTTTAATGAGTGGAAAGAGCGGTCAATCCTACAATACTGAACTCCTAGATGCCTATCTGAAAATCTGTAAACTGTAAAGTCTTAAGGAAGAGCTGGGATATCCCTTGTCACACTGTATTCCATACACCACATATATCTACTTCCTAATACACACTGTCGAAATCCCCGCGGCTCCCAATATTGCCTGCATGACCTGTAATCGGCCAACCTCGACTCTTTCCGTAACTGCTGCAGAAATGACCGCTCGTCATTTGTGACCAACTCGTGTTATTCCGGGACAAGCAAGTCTACCCATAATTCCCTGTATGACCGAGGGCGCCATTTTGGAACACAAATGTAAACAAACACTTAAACCTCGTGTAATCGATGTACACCGTGATGCTTGATTGCGATATGCTTACCTCGTGTATCAATACATTGTTCTCAATCACCTCTAACACGGAAATCCCGGTCGAAATCCACCTGAGCCATCCACAACGAGGACGTCAAGTATTTCGAAAACTCGATTGGCAGCCGAAGGAAGGAAGAGCAGCTTGCAGATGCCAGGTACGTAGCAGGGCTTCGAGACATAATGTTCCATGATTTCTATACACAGATCTTATGGAATGGATTGATTTAGATATTTGGGCAGATATTTTCCTGATCTCCATGTTACTACTGTAAACGTCAAGGGCCTTTTAGTTTTGTTGTTTTCGGAAACCCTTTGTTATTATTATGATCAAGTGTTTGTTGTGACATGGTATTTCTATTTGGGCTTGCATAAGAGCTACAGGTGCAGGACTTTTAAGGGTTGTGTCCTTATTCTCATAACGCTGGGATTTGATGATGAGGGTTAGTTACCAAGGGTACAAATCTGGCAAAGTGCATGTCAAACAAAATGTGGCATTCAATTCCAATCATGTGTTGCCACCTGAACCGCCTGAAAGTGAGATATGGATCACAATGAATAATGACAGCTTATCAATCTTTAACAAATTCACACTGAAACATTGAAAGGATAAAGACAAGTTAGTTGTTTTCTGTTTCAGCATGTTCAGGGTTTGTGGGGAGGTTCACAGACATCCTCAGGGAGGATACCAAGTATTGAGTGAGTATTTTTGTTTGTGATAAATACAAACTACATGTATTCATCATGGTATATTTCAATGCAATGTGAAACATCACACTCACAATAGTCCAGCTCTGTGATGGCAGCCTGTAAATAATTGAACATGGACCAGGCAATCTAGTGATTGTTATTATCAGCAAAGATCCATGCCCTCAGAGTATGATGACAACCTAGTCTGACCACCCAATTCATTAGTTGATTAGTGTTTGCAGCGGTAGGAACTAACACTTTCAGTCCACTAGTCCTAAAATGATAGCATATAGCAAAACCTTTAAAATGTCAAAATGACTAGTGCCAATTTCTAACCCTCGTGTTTGTGTGTGTATGTATGAGTGTATTTAGGTTGGTTTGTTGTTTAACGCCACACTCAGCAATATTCCAGCTATATGACGGCGGTCTGTAAATAATCGAGTCTGGACCAGACAACCCAGTGATTGATATCATGAGCATCGAGCCACGGAATTGAGATCCCATGACATGCATCAACCAAGTCAGCGAGCCTGACCACCCGATCCCGTTAGTCGCCTTTTACGACAAGCATAATGGCCTTTTACGGCAAGCATGGGTTGCTGAAGACCTATTCTACCCCGGAATCTTCACGGGTCGAGTGTATTTAACTTAAATCATGAATCTTATGCTTGTTTCTCCGTGCTTTTACAATGTAACCCAAATTTTCTCGGGAATAATAAAGTATTCTCTTATGTATATCATTTCTGAACAAAGTGTCATATCAACATGATCAAGGTTAGATCTCTGTCAAAACAGTGCCATGGAAAAGCCAAACAAATAGCCTAGAAATAAAAGTAAATACTGCATTGCATTAATCTGCATTTCAAGAAAATTTGGCAGTAATTCATGGAATGATATTCACCTCGAACAAGTTATTTCCTATGTAATGTATGTGTTGAATGACCCTGACTTTGTTGTCAAAATATTGTTTTGACATTTGTTAAATATGGGGATAAATGTCATCTCTGAATGTTTGACATGAATTATTATGATTAGGGTAGTTCTAAGTCGGAATCACAACCGGGGTCTTTTCATTTGAATCAAATGTACAACATGTACAGTTTGGACATTTTTCTGTGATGTGAATGCTACTTATGTTTGTAGAATGTCCGGATGAATAAAAGAGACAGTCATCTGTGCAGCATCAATGCAAAGAAAGACCATAGAAGAGCAACAGTGAGTGGTAAATATTTTGAAATTCTGTTTGGTTCATATGGTTTTTTTGCAAATATGTCTTCAGTTTGTTCCTTATCGCTGTGGGCACGGATGTCCTATTATCTAAGGCACTACAATTTTCTGTGCAGAGTTGCATCTCTTGGGCTTAGCAGAAACCTATAGTCATGGGTTCAAATCCTGGTTCTCCCCGATTATGTTGCTAGGTTTGTCAGCATTATACACATGCTCGTGGGATTCATCAAAGACCTGCATCACTTAGGGCTTTCTTCCCACATCAAGCTAACATGCGGTGATATATCTGGAATACTGTTCAAAGCAGTGTTAAAGCCAACTCATTTATTTAACACTGCATCCAGCAATAGTTTGGCTATATGACAAGGATTGTAAATATATATTTTTCCATGTTGATGAGTTGAAACAATCACTAAATGACATCTCTTAAAAAGATTCCCAGCATTCCAAACCTAATTAATAGATAAGGTTGTGGTTGAGTAGGCTCATTGATTGCATGTAATCATCAGGGACGGGCATTATCATCCCTATCAATATCATGTGAAGTAACATCTGTGGCAACATCTGTAGACAACATGCAGCTAAAATATTCATGCCATTGTTAAACGGATATAGTAAACGATGACGACATCCTGGAAAATCGCTTCAATACAGACCAAAATATCTCACTGTTGTTAATGGTATTCAACAAATTGTTGCATGTCTCAGGGGAATACAACTGTCTTTTCCTCCGTAGCACAGTGGTTAACCTATTACGGGCTTGAATGTAATTGTCTATAGAATCCCTTCTCTTATATCGACGGAACACACTGAGAATTCTGATTCCCTCTCAACGAAGAAACTCTCTTTATCCATAAGATACTTTCCTACTGCTAGAAGCACAATATATAGCTTCAGTAAGGATGTTAACAGCATTATCTAAATCATCAAACACGACATCAGGAAAAAATGTCAAACATGGAAACAACTCATCAGAGAGTTGGTTTGCTCCGTTTACAATCGTCCCAAGCATAGCGGTAATCAACGTGAGATCCTTCTCTGCATCACGTGATGCCGGTACATGATCACGTGACAGCAGTGATCATATAATCGGAAGGTGACCAGAGTCGGATCGAGATACAAACGTGTAAATAAGGAAAACACGTCAATTGAGGACATAATATAACCTACACGACGACACAGACTTATTCGCGCAAATACATGTAAATTCTCCAGTTCAGTTCCACAGCGGCCATTACACAAGGCCACATTAAGAGATGCACACGGTTTTAGTAGCAAACAACCAAAGCGATTTAAGACTTTATCACCAGAAAAACGCTCCCTGTTAATACAATCAAAGAATGTAGAAAATCATCAGAGTTTAATCGTTCTGAAATATCATTATCTATAAAGTCAGGTTCGATTGAAGTCCCTGCGGAGGAGTATATAGACATCATTAACTTCCTATAACACATCAAGAAGAGATTCTTGTAAAATAGAAATTCCACACTTGCATTGCTTATGTTACAGCTGCTGTCGTCGCCAAATGGGAAACATGACTCGCTGTGGGGTTGTGATCGTTTTATTCAGAAATGTCGAAATTAAGAAATGCAGAAATGGCCCTGAAACAATTACAACAGTATAGTAACGGCCATAAAGTATATCAATTATACATAAATATCACAAGTAGCTTATATTGTTGCAGGGGTGGTTCATTACGAAAAATGACAAGCTGTGGTTGTGTTTGTTGAGGAGATATTTATTCGATTATGAATCACTTCCTCAATCAATCACCCTGTAATAAAATATAACATTATATACTATACATACAATAGCATTCAAAGATACGGCTGTATGTTATTTATATCCTAGTTTGAGCAGTCACATTAATCCACACATGCAACGCATATAGTTACACATCACTAGTTCATTGTAAATAACTTATACAATTTACAGACCTTCAAATCAGCAATTCATATATAAAATATATCTTATCATAACTGAATATATCAGTTACACACTAAATAGTTAGAAGAATACTGGTAGCCGTGTGGCGTCATAAATACATACTTATTATCTCTAAGAGTAGGAATATATATAAAATGCTACCACGTTGTGTTAAATTATAACACATAGATAAAACATATAAATTCATTCATAAGTGTGGGTGACACCGGAGTGTGTCTATAAACCCACATCATGAGTGTAGGATTATGGTATTCCTATAAAAAGTAAATATAAAATAACGCTCATGCCTGAATATATACATACATACATACATACGTACATACATCATGACAACCATTTCCTTAAATTATAGAAAACCAACTTCTAAATCAATCCTTACATTCAAAACTCCCAATCAAATCATGCTCTCACACATACTTACATGTTAAACACTTTATACTGATAAAATAGAAGATATCTTGACTATTTGATATCATAGGTAAGCATTTACAATATTTTACATTATTGATAACATATTTAAACGATAAGTTAGAATTCTATTCAGGAAAGATAATGTAAATAACTAACCTGAGTCCATTTCCTGTCTTTGCAGAGTTATAAGCAGAGTGAATAAAAAGTGTGCAGGGAATGAATGTTAGGGAAGAAAGCTGGACAGGAATAGACTCTTAACCCAAACATATATATTTTGTACTACAACTACTGCAGATATATACAACTACTTGAAATGAAAAAGCTAAAACTATATTCCTAAAAACTATGTATACAACATCCTGCTACAATATTTAAACAGGAGCATTGGTACTATGGCCTTACAACACATGTAAATTGTCATACAAATTTATCAATCAGTAAGTCATGACATATGCTGTCAAGCCAAGGGAGATAATTTCCCGCCAAATACCAGGTTTTGCCCACATACTCACAATTAAAACAATATTTACACACATACCTAACATCATTCCATAGATAACATGACGTACATTAAGATAAATATGTGGTAACCCTCAAAGGTAAAAAAAACAACACATAAAGATACAATATATTTAAACATGATAATAATGGAATTGAGCCATGTAATATAACGTGGTGACTCACGCTAGATGACTATGGATTGCCTGTAATTCATACACACCATCATACAACAATGTGGCAATGCATTCACCATCAGTCATGGTCTCCGCTCACACAATTCAAACAAAACCATTTGATATATATGCACACAGCCACTGCCAAAAGCTGACGTTTTGTAATTATTTTAACTCTAATCAGAACATTTATTGCAACTTCCTACACAACCAAATGAACTTTACCTTGGACTTAGTTGACCAATACTTTAGATCCTTAAATACATTTTTTAACATTATTATATTCAAGAAGTTACTAAATAACATTAATGTTTAAGAAACAACATATTTAATGAACATATAAAAGAACTAATAAACCTAAACATAATTTAGTGTTTAAGTATTTAACTGACCTGTTTAATCTTGTTTCCACCTTGCTGTTGCCTCATATGCTGTGCTGTGCTGTGCTGTGCTGTGATTGTGAGGTGGTTAGATTGGTGCAGAGGGGGATATCTATATTTTGAAATTAGCCAAGGAGAAGCAAAGAATTGAGGTCAGGTGATAAACAAGTTTCATCCTGGTTCCAGAATGAGACAGCACTCTTGATCCAGCATTATACTTTACATAGCTCTGACTTCATATTCCTTTAGATGAATGAAATTCATATGAAATAAAAGGTAAACATAACCAAATGTCAACAGATTGACATTCGCTTAAAACCACAAACGTTAGAATACTGCCACAAACCTTCAATATTTTTAACAACCTTTTTATGACTAATATGTTATTTTTATTCATATTTTACCTTTAAACCATAAGATATAAAACACCATGTTACATCCAATAATTGCAAAATAGATATGTACAAAGAAACCAACTTAAGACAAAAGCGACCCTAGCGAAAAAGCAGACAACCTAGCAAACCACTTTTCGGCCACAAGCAGTAATAACAATTTCAGTGACAAATTCCAACTAAAACTTAAAACAGAAACCAAACCTAGCCAAGACCCAAATAATGACGCCCTAGAAATAAATCAGCCGTACACAATAGAAGAACTCAATTATGTACTCCAAAATAGGAAAAAGGGAACAGCCCCAGGACTAGACCTAACCTCCTACCAAATATTAAAAAAACTCCCCCCTAAATTACTCCAGACACTACTCAAACTATATAACCTAATCTACATAAAAGGCCATGTACCAACCCCCTGGAAAGAGGCGCTAATCATACCTATTCCCAAACCCGGTAAACCAACCAACCAAGCTAACTCTTATAGACCAATCTCTCTTACTTCCAACCTTTGCAAAGTAATGGAATCCATGGCCAAAAATAGACTTCAACACTATCTATCTCAAAATAACATAATAAACTCAGATCAAAGCGGTTTCACTCCTGGCCGCTCCACCCTAGATAACCTCGCTCGTCTCGAACAGGATATTAAAACCGGTCAACTAAACAAACAATACACAACAGGCATCTTTCTGGACTTCTCTAAAGCCTTTGATATGGTATGGCATAACGGATTAATCCAAAAACTTAAAAAAATAGGACTTAAAGGTCAAATCGTAAACTACATCCAAAGCTTCCTCCAAAACCGCAAAATTACAGTGGGTATAGACCAGGCCTTGTCAGAGCAGTGTCCCCTGGAAAACGGCACCCCTCAAGGCAGCATTCTTAGCCCCACACTTTTTAACATAATGATAAACGACCTATTTGATGGCTTATCCCCCAAAATAAACACCTCAAAATTTGCGGATGACGGAGCCCTATGGATCCGCTCCAAAAGTATCTTAACATCTCAGGACTTACTACAAAAATCCCTAAACAAAATACAAAACTGGGCAGACAAATGGGGCTTCTCCCTAAACTCCGAAAAAACGACAGGAATAGTATTCAAACACAAAAATATGAGACGGGCCTCCCCTTTCCTCAAACTAAACAATAAACCAATCATATTTCAAAAGCAAACTAAATTCCTAGGTCTAATCTTCGACGAGCATCTCTCCTGGGATGCTCACGTCCAAAACCTAACCACCAGATGTAGCAAAGATCTAAACACACTAAGATGCCTAACCGGCTCCAACTGGGGAGCCTCTAAAGATACCCTCCTCAGCCTCTACACATCCCTAATCAGATCTAAACTAGACTACGGCTGTGCCATATACGATACCCTAAACGAAACCCTAACCAAAAAACT